AGAGGGGAGGACGGGGTGGGGGAGGGAAGAGGGGGAGAAGGAAAGGCGGAGGGCTGCTTACGGGGGTGCCCGGAGGAAGGGAAGAGAGGCGTGGAGGAAGCCTCGAGGGGGGAGAAACTTTGGGCAGCCTTTAGCGGGCTCCGCGGGATGCCCCCGCCCCACTCCGGGTCACCACGCCCCTCTTGGGGCCACTGCTTGCGGGGGTAGGTTCTACCCGGAGCTGGCCAGTGGGATGGGGAAGTTTGGACTTGCGCGGACACCCCTCAAGGATTTGGCTTTTCCTGCTGGCCGTGCCCTACCCCCATCCGCGGAACTCTGGACCGGAGCGATCCTCCAGGGAGAGAGGGAGGGAGTAGGGGAGAGGAGTGGGGAGATTTGGCAGTGACCGCGGGCGGACGCCTGAGAATCTGCTCCTTGGAGGATCCCGCCTTTCCCCCCTCTCCTAACCCTGCCGGCTGCCCCGCGCCCGGAACCGCCTCGGCCCCGCGCTCTCTGTCCTTGCCGGGCGGGGACTCAGACTTAACCCCACGGGTCCCACGGATCGAGCGGCCCGAGAAGCGCCAGCACTTCCGTGTGGCTTCTACGGAAGTTGACTCCGGTCGGCAGCGCCCGCATTCTGTCCGCGGGCAGGAGAGGGCCCGGAGACTAGGACGGTGGGTCGTGGCACTTTCCGGAGGACCGAGTGGGAGGCAAGACCTTCCTCCTCACCCCCACTCCCCTACCCCACCCCGGGTCAACTTGGAATGGGCTCCCGCCACTTCCAGCTTGGGAGCCGGGTCGCTGAGCTCAGGAATTAGGGGCTTAAAAAGGGGGCCCTGTTTTTTGCTTCTTTGTCAGGACGGTGTGGAAACACGTGTTACTGGTTCTCGGGGAGAAGGGCTGCTGATGCTATCTACGTTTAGAAAAGCCAGGGCCTGAGTTCCTTCCCCGACTAGCCCTTTCTACTTCGTTTCCCCTCTTGGCTATGAGCTGTTGCAGGCCTGAGCCGGTCTGGCTCCTGGTGTCAGGACCCAAGCCCGACAGGCTCTGTCCTCAGCTTAAGACTGGAACCTGTGTATAGGCAACATTTCTTCATTCCCACCCCTGTAGGCTTTCTTGGAAGTTTTGTGCTAGGAGCACTGGCATGGCAATTCAGAGCCCTGGGTTCAAGTTATGGCTTTGCTTGTTGCCTATGAGTAAGACTCCTATTCCTCTAAGTGTTCCTCCCGCCCCCCCCAAGAGTGTGTCTCCCCCCCCCTCTAGTGTTCTAGAAGTCTTGGTGTGTGTGTGTGTGTGTGTGTGTGTGTGTGTGTGTGTGTTGGGGGGGGGTTTCGAACGAATTAATTTAATATTTGTGAGTTTGGAGGGCTTGATGTGCAGTGTGTGTGTGTGTGTGTGTTGGGGGGGGGCGGTTTGCATGCATGAAAGAATGGAACCCTGGGACTGTCCCTAAGACTTTGGTTCTGGGGGCTTGCCCTGGTGTGTTGAGACCACAGGGCTATCAAAGTATGTTCTGAGCCAGGGCCAGGGCCCAGCTCCCTGCAGAAATCCAGGTGGCATCCTCAGAGTCTGTATCCGTGGACTGGGAGGAGCCCTGCTACATCCAGACCACTCTCTCCAGAGTCCTACGGGCTGTGAAACAGGATTCGCTACAGACTTGGCTTTGGGGAAGAACTTACCCCTGGCTACCCTGAGTTTCAGAGCCCGCTTGACTGACCCTCCAGAAGGGGCACCTATGCTTTTTGAGACCTCTACTTTAGCCACATGATTAATGGCTGCTAGGTTGGTTCCAGCTCTGCTGTGGCCACTTTACATCCTGGCAATGTCAGACCAGGGCTGTGGGGAGCACCCGGCTGGTGCAGGTGAGTGGGGCTGGGCATCACTTCGTGGTGTGAAACCTTGGGCCAGTTTGTGATCAGCTCCACCTCATTCTCTCCCAGGATTAGCTGAGGCCTGAGTGATCTTGCAGGGCCCTTGCTGGTTCTGGGTTGGGGTGAGTCTAAGAATACTCACCTTAGCAAAGCGGGTAATCTTTGCAACCTTAGCCATTGCTTCCACTGTGAATTTGCCCCTCCTTGGACCCCTGGAGTTTCAAGAGTAAACTTCCACTAGAACTGGGTCCTGCCCAGGTTCAGCTAAGGCTCATTTTCTGGAGCTTCAGACTCATCATCCCTTCCAGCATTGTCCTCTTGGTGGCCCCTGGGCGCTAAGCCTGGCCAGAACAGAGGTGGGACCTGCCTCCGTGGATAATGTAGTGTGCGCCGTATGAAAAGTCACTACAGAGCAAGCACAGAGAACCTGTAACCCCATTTGCCCAACGTATGGGTGTGTGTCCATATGCCCTAGTTCTCCCCTCCCCCATATTTGCAGGAAACCAACCGGTTCTAGCAGGTCTGGGCTAGAACCTCTTGCCAGCAGCAGCTGAGTGCCTGCTCACCTAAAAAGGTTACAAGCTCAGCTAGTGTTTCTTTGCTGGGAAGCCCCCTCCCTGACCTTCCTTCCCACAGGTCAGAGGACTTGGGAGGTGATGGGTGGGGATTTAACAGACGCCAGCCTAACCCTAAGGCAATCTCGGCCCCCCAGTACCAGTGCTCAGAGCAGCTGCTGGAGAGGGTGCCAGGCGTCTTGGACTCACCCCACCCCAATCCACAGGATCGCAGACTCCTTCCTCCCCTACGCATACGTGAGAGGCCTGCACTTACTATTTCTCCGGGCACAAATAGGAGAAGCTCCATGGCTGGGAAGGAAAAGGCTTTTGTAGACCTGTGGGACTCTGTGCTTCACTGCATGGGCTCCTTTCACCTCCTACATGGGCTGGAAGGCCCTGGGATCGCACTTTCCGGAAGGCGGCAGCAGGCGTGGAAGGATGGGTGTGCTCCAGTGAGCTCACACTGAGGGAATGCCTTTGCCCCATCACTCTGGGTCGGGAACATTCTAGGGCCTTTGTGTCTGGAACTGGGCCAGAAGCTCCCCAAGGCAAGGATGAAGGGCCCCCATGGAGGGCACCCATTGCCCTGCTCAGGGCGGGCACATTGCCCACTCGAGGGACTTTTGGGGAGAAGGGGGCAAGCAGCCTGCACCAGCCTCCCAAGGGCTTCCTTGACTTTGGGTTGGGGCTATTTAAGAAAAAAGGGGATGATCTAAGTAGAAAGAGTTCCTTGGCTACTATTCCCAACGCCAGCAGAGAAGGGGAAGGGGCTCAGTGCCAAACCAGAGGACCAGAAGCTTTCTAAATAAAATCTTTATTTTTCCAGCCCATAAAAGCTGCAGAAATCCCCTAGGCAGACTCGGGCCCTGGCGCTGCGCGTCTCGGGCCCTCCCCGCAGTTCCGCACTCGGGACTCAAAGCTTTGGAGCGTCCCGAGGGTAGGGGCGGGCCGGCCGCCGCCCCAGAGCCGTCTCTTCCCGCCGGACCTCGCGCTCGGGCCTCGGAGGCGCGTTTCGTTGAAAGCGGGTAAGCAGCTCAGGGCGGGCGTGCGCCAGGCTCCCGGCGCCTCCCCGCTACCCGCGCCGGTCTCCCGCAC